GTGACCGTCTGCCGGGACCGGACTGACGAGCAGCAGGCCCCGGAACCGGAAGACGCGCTAGCGCAAGCAATCCGGGCGGCGAAGGCGCGCCGGACGGACCAGGCGGACGCGGAACCCGCGCGAGAAAGTTTCGCGCAAGAGCTGGTCGGCGGTTTGTTCGCAACTGACACCCTCCGCTCGCCGCTGGTGAAGGGGCCGCAGGTCGTGAAGCGGCGGGAACTGGCGGCCGTCCTGTTCCAGCTGCTGCAAATGAGGCGCCGCAATGGCGGATACTTCCTGAACGAGGACCAAGTCATGGACCTGCGAAATTACTTCAACGGGAACGTAAACACTTATTTAGCAACCCAAGTCCGGCGAAGGATGTACGACCTCGCCACCCGTCCCGGTCGGTTCCAGCCCCACGGCCGGCAGAACAAACCCTGCGCGCTGACCACACACATTCTGGAGTTCCTGCAGCTGCCGCCCGAAGAGCTAGCAGAGTTCATGCTCATCAAGTGGACCTGGCCTACTATCGAATGGGCTCTGAGCACGTCAGAGCTCTCAGACGACGACGATGACCGTCGCGCGGTGTTGGTGAAGATCTTGAAAGCAGCCTGACTTTCTAGACGTCCGTTTTGTATCCTTTATTCACAGATGTTTTTCAGACGGAGGGGGACTTGAACCGTGGGTTGAACAAGTCCCCCGCTGATTTTGCTCAGCATTACTGCCTCCAACACTGCGCTGGATTATACAACGGCCGTCCGAGTTACCACGACGTTCGGGTCTGCGCGTTGTTTCTCTTTGTTTCTCGCCGGGGAAAGAAAGAAGGCGTAAGAGCTTGTCTGCGGCCTCTTCGCCACCGACAGAACGGGCCCTGCACGCTCACCACGCACATTCTCGAGGTCCTGCAACTGCCACCCGAAGACTGATGAGTAGGGCTCAGGCAGGGCGTTGTTAAGAACTGGGTTTGGTTCGCTGGGACGATTGTGTTAGCAACCGCCAAAAAAAACAGGAGTTTCCTTCCTTCGAGAGGAAATTCGAGACAAAAAATTATTTCGTTGACAAGCTTTTTTATCGATGACGAAAAGCGTGAAGTGTGTTACTGGCAGCCACTGCGGAGTGGGTGTAGTTGCTGTGGGCGAAGTCATCTTTCGAGTGAAAGATAGTGAGCCTCTGGTAATCAAGGAGGACCCGGTCGCCTTGTACAAGCTGCTAGTTCGGAGCCGGGACGAAGAGACGCACGAAGTGCATGTCGAAAATGGCAAAATTCGCTGGCTCACGGAGGCCACAGAGGTGGGTGAGAGCGAGGGGGCGGACATGGACACACTACACGGCAAACTCCGCAAGACCTCCAAGGGAGAAGACTCAGTCGTGCTGGCCTCGGATGCTACTGCCCCGCCGTGCAAACTTCGAAACTCTCTAGGCTGTCACATGTGGCAAGTCAGTCGATACGCACCCGCCAGAATCTACCTTCTGCAGTTCATGTTCGACGCACGAGACCGCCCGACGGGGTTCTGGAAGGAAGTTAGGCGAAGGCTCTAGCCACATTATTTCTTGGCAAGGGAAAGTTCTATTTTTCGTAACTATTTTGTCCGCAACGCATTTTTTCCGTACTTGCGCGCTCCAGGCGCGCTCCAGACGCGCACTGTAGAGGGGGGAAGGCGGG